AATAGGCGTTAAAATGCTAAAATTACCACTCATGCTGCACTGCAAATTGTTCAAAAATATATACAATTTGCTGAACAATAAAAGTTATACACACTCAACAATATACCATATTACATTTAAAACTACTTACTCCTTAAAATCATTACCTATTATTATTATTATCTATTACTTTATTACAATTGTACAACAGTTGTTTGATTTTCTCAGGGTTTAAAAGACGCGTAATTTGACGCGAATTGAAATTTCACGCAACTGCATATTTGCACGGAGGTTAAATCTATTATCTAAATTTTTGTATGGTTAGATAGAACCATTTTAATTTTAATTAGAAATGCATTATTATCCGATAATAAAACGCCCGTAATTAATTTTAAACAATTTTGTAATAAAAGAATGAACAGGTAGTCACATTTTAATGTTATTAATATTTGTTTTGTATTACGATGAGGAATATTTGAATAAAATTAATTATTTAGATGTGCATGCTCCATCATAATAGTCCATAATAGTCGACCTTATCGTTATTTTCCATTAGGTGAGATGGAGGACAAGTGCACAATTATTTTTTAATATTTTTTTTAGTCTTTATAAGATTAAGAAGGCTCACAACGGTAAAATGTGTAAAATCCCCAACCCACTTTACTACTACTAAAATCCTGTAGCCTGAAACCCTCATCTGATATGAGACCCGTCCCCAGCAGTGGGACGTATAAATGGATTGATGACGATGATTAACATAGTTATAATTCATAGTATATTGGTTTGTGGCTCTTTTAGGAGGCCACGCACAATACATTTCTTTTTTTTTATATATAGGTTATCAAGTGACGGGACGAACAAGTCGTGCACCTGATGATAACTACACACCTGTCATACACGTGTTAACAGCACATGCATTGCATGCATGCATTGCCATTCAAAGCTCGCAAAGATCTAAGGGGCACTGCCACTACGCCCGTCACCCGGAGACATAAGTTGACAAGTCCCATATGCCTGTAATTTCACCAGCACCCTTACCCTTCGAAACCGGAAGGTAGTAATATTCACATTACTACTTGGTGGCAGAAATAGGTAAGGTGGCAGTACTTCACTGGACGAACTCTTCACAACGCCTTCAAATGGGCTGATGATACAGTGAAAAATAATAATTTTACAACAAATGCCAAAAAACTACTGGCTCAGAATTAAATTGCAAATGACTAAGTACCTTTACGTTATGCGTCGTGATCAAATAGAACAAAATTCTATTCTCTAGAAAACTCTTACGCACTCGAATTAGTTTGCACACGTAATTCGATGCACAGATTTAACACAGATATGTGAAAAACACTCGTTAAATTGTTATTTCGCAATCGAGATTTTTAACTTCATTGAGTACCTACAGGTAACGAACAGCAAAAAAAATAACGTCATACTTCGACAAAAATTCACTAATACAATTTTTTTGTCATAGGGTGCCTTATTTTCGTAGGAAAAATGTGGCTTGAAATATTAAGTTTATCTTGCTATATATCTAAGCTTGAAATATAAATATCACGATATTTTACTGCCACGATATTCAACTATTTTTGTGAAATTACTCCACTAGTTGTTATAATTATTATTAATACAAAGATCGAACACTAAGAAAAATTCCTTCGATCTGATTAGACTCGAACATTGAACAAAAAAAGGTACCATATAATCTCCAAATTTCACGTATTATAATAAAACACAATAGTCTGTGGTTTCAATGTTTATCAATTTACTGATATATTTTAGTGTGACCATTTTTATGGACAACTCATACTTGACCAAATAATTGACTATATTATATTAAACAACATCACATACGTGCACTGATCCCAAAATTAAAGCACTTGTGTTATGGAAATCGGAAACAACGACGCCGGTACTTGGTACTGAGTGCCACGGGCTGGTATCCGCAACTCGACGACAAGGCGCCTATTTTGCGTGTGGTGGGTGCAGGGTCCTACTCGTGCCACCCAAGCTCCTCCAGGAATCTCAGCAGTCTCCTTGGTTTGCTGAAGACTTCGGGGAGCGACCTTGGCACTCCAAGGTACTTCGCCCTGTAGTTGGCCACGCCGGAGCACTGAAGCAGGATGTGCGCAGCCGTTTCCTCCCCCTCCATGCACGCTCTGCATAGAGGGCAGTCTGTGATACCTAAATTGAAAAGGTGTTTATTGTACGGACCATGACCCGTTAGGGTGGCAGTTAGAGTGCGAAGCTCTTGCCTGTTAAGTTTAATTAATATTCGAGATAGACTGGCATTGAGCGTTGGGAGTGCTTCCCTCGCCTGTCTACAAACCGTAAGGGTGGCCTATGTTTATTATGTGAAGATTTTGTACCTTCGACGACGACGACAGTACCATAAACACCCAGACCCAAGACAATAAACAAATGAAATCAATCGATTGTATAAATAATACAATTATCTTTTTGTGAAAGTAGTAACTCTTTGCCGGAAAACCTTAGAACAGTCCGCAAAATTTCAAAACACCCATAAACAGAACCAAACTCAAAGGCACAGTATGTTTGTATAAACCGTATTTAGAATAATTTAAGTGGAAAGGCGTTACTTAATAAATTTGTTCGATATGTACGTAGATACAATCGAAGGGCTAAATCGTTCGAGGCATTGAATCACAATATTTGGAAATACAATGACCAGTCACCGTTGGACGGACGTTTGATCAGATTATCTGTAACAAGACTACACAGTTGCGCTTAAGCATTGCCGACTATGTTAATGTAGAGTCGCCTACAAAAGTTTTAGTTGACACCCTCGGATTTTTTTTCTGATGATACTAAGTGAAGGGACGAACGAAACGTGCGCTTGATGGCAAAGGATACATTTATGACAGTTGCAGTGTCACTAAGAGCTTAAAATCACAAAGATCTGAGGATCATTGACACATATGTTGAAAAGGCCTGGAATTTCATCAGCAGCCTTACCTTTCAGAACTGAAATGCAGTAATGCTCACATTACTACTTGGCGGCAGAAATAGGTAAGGTAGCAGTTACTACCCTGAACGAATTCTTTCACAAGGAGTTCTAGTGCTACTGAGACAGGGCATAATCGGACAAACTGAATTCAATTTAAGGAGCCAAGTAACTTACATGATTAAAATGAGGGTAAGGAAAAGCTCACTTATGCTGTTGCAAACAAAAAACACGCATTGTCTTATTCTGAGATGAACTGAAGATATTGACACTAACGAGCAGCCGCTCCAAAACAGATCGTGTCAAATATTGTGAGTACACATATAGGTTAATAATGCATGGGACGAATTTCACAATCCACATGTTTTACCATTTTAATCCAGCAAGTCCAAAAAGGCCCTTCAGGTTATTACTTTTTTATATCTTTTTTTTATATTAAAATAAAAATAATCAAAATTACTTTATTGAAAAATAATAATGTACACACTCATGGCTAGGGAAATACTGTATCGCGGCTGCTATGGACACACAACCTCAAACCTCAAACCTCAAAAGAGAAATAAATGTAGGCCGTACAAACATTTCTCCCGGCCCAGAAATCGAACCAGGGACCTCTGCCGGCAGCAAGCATAGTAACCGCTCGGCCACGGAGGCTGTTAGAAGCAGCAAGAAGACAATGGAAATTAATAATAAAACAAATGTTATATTAATACACTTTTACACACAATCATAACAAACTGGTGGAGTAATTTCATAAAAATAAATATCATGGTAGGAAACCAATTCATTAATTAATCATCAATCAATATAAAACAAACATGTAGAAAGCGCCTATGACTCAGCTACAGATGGCTATAGAGTTCATAGCCCTCACTAATATTCTGCCATAGCCGCAATAATCAAGAACACACAAAAAATCCACAACAATCATACATAGTAAAAACGACACGATTAAAATACAATCTAAAACGTTCAAGACCAAAACAATACATAAAGCCCAAATTAAAAGAAACCTTCAACTTATTACATACGTTGGTTTGTTTGGCCTGCATGTCCTGGGTGGAGCTTTCAGATTTTACTTCGTTGCCAAATCAATGTCAATGTCAAAATGCCAAAATGCATCTTGTACAAGAAATTTTATAATCTAGTGGAAAAAACTTTCAAGACGAATTCCGTAGCGACTGTACAAATATTATTGAAAAACGGTATAACTGCCCGGGGCTCTTACTTCGCAATCTATACACTGATTTACTTTATGAGTGCTATGTAATTTCGATGTACTTTTTCAACACCATCGATTTCAAAGTAGCAGGCACAAACATAAACTTGAATGTCTCCATGGTAAAATATACCAACGGATTTATATTACATAAACAAGTAATGTACGACAAATCGTGTAGTTGAACATGTCATGTTTTCTTTTTCATCGAACGATAAAGTTGGGTGCACCACAGTCCATCGTCAAGTTCGAATTTCAAAAACCTTTTCCACGCTAATGTGGAAAAAACGCTTTTGGGCGCAGATTTCTAATGAGAATGAAAACCTTTCCGAGCTAGTGAGGTGAAAAATAAATTAATAAACACCAAATCACATACGTATAATTCAGCGCACTCCAACGTATACACTTACACTAAAATAAATTTTAAAAATTTGTCAGAAATGGCATGAGTTTTCAGGTGAGTCGAGTTTCAATACCTAATAAAATAACTTTGTTATAAGTAAGCATATTGACAGAAAGTATACTACGCTTGCAATTTTTACCATGCAGCGGGAAAACTCACACGGCTTGACAATCACAGCGCGATCAGAGTACATGTTTGAATACAATAATAACATCTTATCTTGGGCTGCATTGACCTAGTATAACGAGGTATCTCGGTTCACAGCATATTTTTTTAAGTAACAATCATTAGCTTAGTGTGTAATGCGAGAATGTAGAAGACAAAGCGCGATGACCTTGCGAGTGCGGGGACGCGCCGCGGTACGCCTGCCCCACCGGACCAGAGACGCCAATTCTTATAAAACCCACTGGTGGTTATCAAATGTGTGTCAGTCACGCATTACTATCCACAAAAAATGTTCGCTAAAGTAAGTTCCAAAAGATGTGCGGAGTGAAGTGAGATGTTTATTTCTACGAGTTAAAAAATTTGGAACATTTCACCATGAATAAGAATAAAGTTTATTGAAGTTACGGAATTTCTAATTAAATTTCATTGGTGCAGATCCTAGCTCTTGGAGCAGTGGCGGCCGTAGCCCAGGCCGGCATCATTGGCCATAGCGGATACGGGATATCCTCGCAGCACAATGTGGTCCACCACGACACCTACTCCCATTCTGCACCACTGTTACACACCGCTGCCATCGCCCATGCTGCCCCCGTCGCCTACGCTCATGCTGCGCCTGTTTCCTACGCCTCGGCTGGCCACTATGGTGGTTACTCCAGCGGCCATAATGAAGGCCATGACTACTATGTACGTCCATTAAAATATTTGATTAAATAAAATTAAATCTTTAAAAAACTGTCTCTACCATCCATGTTCTCTAGAAGTTAAAAATTCAAAATTCAAAAATTCAAAAACAAATTAATTTAAACTCATAAACTACACTCTTACTAGATCGATAATGGGCCTTTTCCTTTTGCATCTTGGCTTGGATCTTGTGCGACAAATATCAAACAAATATTTTTTTATTCACAGGCTCATCCCAAATACCAATACTCATACTCCGTAGAGGACCCCCACACTGGTGACCACAAGTCCCAGCACGAGCACCGTGACGGCGATGTCGTGAAGGGAGAATACTCCCTGCTGCAGCCTGATGGCTCTTTCAGGAAAGTCACCTACACTGCTGACGACCACCATGGGTAAGAATTAGTCCTTATTTCTTTTTCAAATAGTACAGCGAATAAAAAAGACCTCAAACTCTTCTACTTTCTATCAGCATAAATCATTTTTAACATGTCTAATACATAACTTATATAAGTTAAAGCTAACGTACACTTTAAAGCATTTCCCCACAACTTCGGTCCGCTATCCAATTTCGAATACAATACCGCAACTTGTTTTATTATAACTGAATTAACTATAATCGAATGTTAGAGTAGTAGAAAAACACCTCTAAATATAATTACAATTGATATGATTCATCATAAAAACGACGTGACGGACTTCAAAATTTAAAACTAGCTTTCGTCTATCTACCGTCTTAATTTACAAAAAAATGCAGTGCAGATTACATAAGTAAATAGTAAATCTAAACATCACATATATACGACATGTCAAGACGAACTGCAACTTTCCCCTTACAATGCAAACTTACACTAGTTACGAATACTTGACATTGCTTTCTCAGGAAGCCTTTAATACGTAATAGAAGTATCGAGTTAACATACGGAATCATATGGTGGACAAACCGGTCTATATTCCAGTAGCATATGAGTAATGACCTCCTATAACCTCTCTGTCAACATACCGGTATACAGGTGCTATAATAACAAACTTGTTCGTAAACTAGTTTTGATATGCTGGATGATTGAGCATATTAATGTTTTGACGACGGCGTAAAGGCAGAGTACTGGGGCAGTTGGTTAATATTTATGTTAGAAAATCATAGCAAAAAGTTCGTTCGATCGTAGACCCTATCTTTGCTCTAAGGCAAAGTTCAAAGGCAAGTTAATTTACTTAAAAAAATTAAATTTCGATGGCGTTCTAGAATAATGGCCTATTCGTAAAACCCGGTCCGGTCCATATTGTCACTTGTTTAGTTTAACCAATAAAAAGCTCGCTATTTTCTGTTCTTCATTATAAAACTTAGCACATTATGTGTAACAAGATTGATATGACCTATTTTTCGAGCCACTATTCTTGAAAAGCAGCGATTTGTTTTAACAAAAACCAATATTTAATAGTTTTTAAACCAATATTTCGGACCGGTCCCATGGTCAGGATAGATTATTATTCAGTACGTTTATCATTTAGCAATCGCAACTGAACCACTGTAGAGTAAAATGATAAAAGATAGGAAAAATGTTTCTTGTATTCGATTTATAATTTCTTTAATATGAACTTATTTTTTATTGTTTCAGTTTCAACGCTGTGGTTCACAATTCTGGTCCCAGCCATCATGTCTACTCCTCACAGTCCCACCACTACTAAGATCTCTAACTGTTTCGCTTAAGCTTGTACAAATGTTACTCGTATTTATTCTGTGATCTTGTACTTTTAACTTTATGAAAAAGTCATTAAAATTAGTACAAAACTACTATTTACTGATTTTATTTCACATTGGTTACTTTGTTCTTCCGTTGAAATGCTGAATAAGTTTTTGTTATGATACCAAGTCGTGCACCTAGTGGTAAGCGACACACCTGTCAGACAGTTGCAGTACCACTCAGAGAAATCGCAAAAATTTTAGAGGCACTGCCTCTGCGCAGTTAAGTTCCATGTACCTGTATTTCACCAACACTTTTACCCTTCAAAACCGAAACGCATTGAAGCTCACATTATTGTGCGGCGGCAAAAATAGGTAAGGTAGACAGCACTTTGCTAGACGAACTCTTTCATAAGAAGCTCTATAAATTCCTTTTCTGGGGTAAGTATTCTGGGTATTCAATTTAGTATTTCGAAATTACTTGTAATTCGTAATTGTAAATGTGCATATGTAAAGATTTGAATAATTTCCTATGGAAATTGAACTAGATTTATCAAGTGTAAATCGCTTTTTTTAAACAAAATATCGTCTCGGGACCTTGGTTACGGCTGATACATCATATTCGGAACCTGTAAAGAATCTGATATTAAGTAGTTTGTTTGAAAAATAAATATACGTGATTTAGATTCGAAAAATTAGATTCATTCCCAATGTGTAACAAGTCAAACTCCATAATTTCTATATCAAAGTATTTTAAGACATTCATCATTACAAATTTCTAATACACTGTCCTATATATGCGACGCCCTGTATATGCGACGGTGAACAAGAACAAAAAAATTACGCCAAGCGTCTTAAAAACATGCAACTCAAAATATGGGTATACATAATGTGATGTTGCAACAATTACACCTCAATCGTGGTCAGGTAAATAGAGCAAATTATTTTGCTGTGAGCAGTCTGTTCTTTTCTTACGAAATTTCGCAATATGTTAAGTGTATTTATTTTAAATAGCCCTTAGGGCAGTAGATACACGAAGTAAATGTGCAATAACAATAATTACTCTAGTCGTAATTAAAAATCAGTGTTATTGACTAATTGACTCTAGTACCTACCTATGTAACGTATTAGCCGACATCATTTAGTAACACAGTAATACTATAATCTAAAAGTGAAATTTATGCGATGATGATCCAGTAGGACAACAGTAGCTTCAATGTAGGGGTCGATGACTTGAATCCCTGCGACGGCATATACTTATGACTAATTAGTTATTAGGTACTAAATTGCGTACACTTGTAAATGTTTAGTGTCAATACCAAGAAATAAATATATACATATGTAGGGTATAATAAATAAAAATTTACGATAGTTTATTATTTCATAATATGATAATGTAAGTTTTTAATAATGCATTTAAATTTTTACTACTGACACATCCCTCTCTGTTCAGGTCTCCTATGCCTCAAAAGTTGTCTGGAAGAGATCTTTTTCAGCGATAAGGCCGCCTTTGCCTTTCTATGTACTGTTTTTGTTTTGTTTTTTGTGTGTGAGCAATAAAGTGTATTATACCACTAACGATAAAAGTATCTCGATGAAATCTGCATATCGAAATACGTTTACAACCATTGGAAAATGTGTGTCTCTTTAGAAAAGGCCCTTACCCAGCAGTGGGAAGTATAAAGGGTGGATGATAATTAATTTACTGTTTCATATACTCTGTTATTAATAATAATGTGCCAGACAATCACACCAGTTGCTTAGTCACTGCCAGTTTCTCAAACTACGACGAATTGGCTCTATTATGAGTACCGGAGCAACGGTGTACACTAGAACACTCAGATCACCAATTTAGAAAACTTCATTTTCTAAATTGATCCTACCGGGTATCGAACCCGAGACCTCCTCATCCAGTGCCAGCAGTGCCATCCGATGAGCCACTGAGATCGTCAATATATTGTTTATGAACAAAGTATATTGAGTTGTTTAATCTACCGCTGCTCCGGCAAAACAAAGTCGTGATGCTATAATCGTGTAGCTCAGCAAGATAATTGCATCCTAATAAATACATTAAGATGCTGCTGCCTATTTTCTTACCATACCATATTCAAACCATAATGCTTCTACAAATAAATAAATACAAATCATTAATGGATCTCCTCCATTTTCCAGACTACGGTGAAGTCAAATTGGTTTTTACGCAAATGCTATTTAAACGGACATACTGAAAACGAATCCATAGCTTTGAAACTATTATAGAAAACACAGTTGACAACTTGGTCATTTGTCATAGCTCATGTTACAGTGGTGTTGGAGTTGCAAAAGATAGCAACAATTAATAAAACAGCCAGCGCAATGACGAAAGCATTTTGACGGATATTTATCACGATATTCATAACTCGCTACTACTAACGAGTAGTATGTTACGCATAGACTCCCACTCCGTTTATTTCGAAGTCACGAAACCGACCAATCAAAATATCCTGATCTAGACATCAGAAATTATATTTTATCTAGGGGAGAGAGGGGAATTGCGGACACTTAAGCGAATATCGAAATAAAAATCATAATATTAGCATTCAGTCAGTATTTTTTTATTATAATTAAACTTTGGTTATAACCTTACGAAATTACCATAATCTTTTATCTTTGAATAATCAACAAATATAAAATTTTAATAAAACGAAAGGCTTTCTGTCCGTAACTACCCGGCGCATGTCGGGTAAATACAGACAGTGATCGTATGACAATATATAAGCTATTAATTGATACCACTTTCATCTTCCTACATCTTGGCTCAAGATTGTATGAAAGCGCATCGGTCTCCTTTAGGTTAACCTATTTAAAACCTTAATTGGGGCTATTACAGACGTCTGGATTTGCCCCAATAAATTACGGTATTTAATTACATAATATTTCTGATGTTATGCAAGCACGTACGATTTTCATATTCTTACAGTTTCGAGGATGTATCTTATAAATATTTATGACAAACGTAACATTTCATTAATTCTCACATAACAGCGTTTACACGGCACTAAAAATAAAGTAAAATTACAACAAAACACAAGTCAAAGTCTTTGGTACTTACTTTGAAACGCGTGTGAGGCCTCTCTCCTTTACAACTTTCTACACACAACCGATGGTGGATGTGAAAGATCGCGATAGCGGGACGCGGGGGGAACTAGACTTCTGGAAACGATTGCGTCTAAAACTACACCGCATCCTTATTCACCACACTCTCCCCTACATCAGTTTTTGAGCTCATTGCAACTCTTCATTAGAGGATTAATTTTTTTTTGTGATACCAAGCGACGAGACGAACAAGTCGTGCGCCTGCTGGTAAGCGACACGCCTGTTCATAATAGATGCAGTGACATTCAGTGCTTGGTATTACAAAGATCTGAGGGACACTGCCACTGCGCCCATCATCCTGAGACGTAAGTTGATAAGTCCATGTGCCTGTAATTTCACCAGCACCCTTACCCTTCAAAACTGAAACGCAGTAAGACGGTTTCTTGACTCGTTAGTGTAGTAGCGGTACGGTATCGGTATGCTTGGTATACGCAGTACCGAAAGCTTACCGAGCGCCTATAGTTTAATATGCGCTTCCAGATTGGCGTGGTTTGTACAGGAACGGGAAAGGACCGTTTCGGTTTACCGTATACCGCGCCAATCAGAAAGCGCACATTGAGACATAAGCGCTCGGTAAACTTTCGGTACTGCGTATACCGAACGTACCGCACCGACAAATCAGGAAACGGTCAAAATCCGGCAAAAATAGGAAAGGTGGCAGTACCTAGGACGAACTCTTTCACAAGGAAACTGGAAATCTCCGAAAATCTTGATGAATGGTGATGAGCTGCAATCTATACAATACGTACCACTGCTATCTGTCTTAAATTTGTCTTTCACTTTTTTTCACCCACGGTATAATGTGATTACTTATTTATCAAAGCGATATTATGATAGTTTCATTTTTCTTTTGCTGAATTGTTACATGTCAATCAATATCTTTGAGCTGTTAAATTATTCAGGACAAACGAAAGCAAATAAATTAAACCGATGATTCCCAAAGTGGTTTATATCGACTCCTCGGGTCCAACGAACAACTGGTCCATGTCAGCAAAAAAAGTGCTTGAGACTTTAATGGCATCCACGAGAGTGGAACCTCGTTAGGTGAGTCGTGACAAAGGTTTTAGAAAAATTCCTTTGATGATTTGATGATTAGTCGTCTTAAAATTGTAATGTTTCTATAAACTAGGGGATCCTTTATCTTAAGACTTAGGCACAATTCGACCCTGGGCTGGTTATGAACTTTCACTTTGTGCAGGATGACATGAAGTAACAGAAAGTGACATATTCAAAAAATAAAACGAAAGATATGCAGAGGCTAAATTAAATTATAGGACCTGAGTCGCTGTGATAGAGCTACTGAAATACTGGGTGCATTCGTTGTTTGCTAATACCTAATCTGTGGAAAGTATCTGCCAGCACTTGAATTTCTCACCCGGTTGCCCTATTTGTAATTGGATACTATAATATATTTAAAATTAACAAACTTTTTCAATTCACTTACGCCTGTATATTAAACACTTAATTGATGGCTACTATGATATTTCAGCACACTGTAAGTAACGTTGTTAACGCCCCTGTCAAATGGTAAGTAATTTACGAGTATTACCTTGTATGCTAAATTGCTGTAAACTGCCCTAACGCAAGCGAACGATAATAACTTTAATAAATTGTTACGGTCGTATTTTAGACCTGGCATAATAAGATAAGGGGTAGAATTATTCATATTTAAATTTTCTGCTTTTGTGGAGAATTTTGTGTCTTAGTTGGCTATCACAATACTAATCTAGCGAACTGAAGTAGTAATTAAGTGTAGAAAGAGGGCTGATTGCTACTTATTTTTCTAATTTGGAATAAAAACCAAAATACTTGCAATATTAACGCGGTTTATTGCAACAGGCAAAACACGAAATGTACAGAGGCTAGTAGTACAGAGAGAAGTAGTTTAAAATTATGACAAATAGACGAGAATGTATTTATCCTAATATATTAAAATAACAAAAATACAAAGTATTCAACAGTAGCTGTTA